ATTCAATTAGACGTTTAGGGAGGCAACCTAGTTATCTTGGTTTCCTTAGCCTAAGCTGCATAGACCCAGACCTCCATATGATCTGTTTGTTATAACCGATGCCTACCCATGGATGCTAAATCTGCCACATGATCGCTTTGGAAGAGCTTTGTTTTCTCAAAAGCTCACTGTAAATTACAGAGTGTTTCTTTTACTTTGTTTGCTAGCCAATTAATTTGCGTTTAAATGGATATTTTGTAACAATGTGCAGTATATACTGGACATAGATTTATGCTATCCTGCTGTGAGGGACTAGTTTAAGGCTGAATTCCTGTTTGTGGTCCCCATTTTATATTATGTTATGTCAACATTGATACATCTACGTGTCTATGAAACACCAGGGAAGAAACAGTCCTTCTGTAGACAACAGATGGACACCTAACTTGGGGAGATATAAATAATGGACATGGCCTTTTTATCAGTTTTCACAGTCCCACCTTGACCTACTGTATTTTTTTGCAAATAACATGCCCACACATATAACGCGCAGCGTAGCTCACTTAGGAAAAAAGCAAGGGGTGGTTGCATGGTTGGTAAAAAATGCATACTGCATGAGTACCGTATTTTTACGTCCGTTATATGCATAAAATACAGTACTCATGCAGTATGCAAGATACAGCCGTGTACCTTTGGTAGTATAGTCACTCTGCTAGGTTGCATACCACAGGCTTGAGTCCTTTAGTCTATCTCACATCACTTTTGTTTAAACTTTGTGTAGGATGTGCTTATCCTCAGTTATTTCATTTGACAAAGTTTTCAGTAAGAAGGAAATTAATGAAGTAGATTTAACTATGGATCTGAAACTTTGTGACATTCAGAGATTTCATGGATGATGTGCTTTGTACATAGTTGCTGAATAAATGATTGCATGGTTGAGTTCTGGAGCAATTCAATAATGGGTTTAATACATTGACTACAGGACTCAGTTGGGAAGGTTTTGAAATGAATACTAAATCAGTTTATGCCTAGATTAAGCGTAAAACTTCTTACTCTTATGACAGTGTAGAAGGCCTTGACATAGGCTTGAGCTGGTAGAGCTGAGATTCAGAATATGCACAACCATATTAAAGCTGAGCTACAGATTTAAATTTTCTTTTGGTGACAGATTTGAATTTTGTTTTAGTTTTGGCGACCCCTCCTCCATAGAATGCATATTTTCATATAACCGTGTTCTGCTCTTCAACTTCATGCTTTGTCCAGAATACCTTCTGTAATATCAGAATCTGTTCATCTTCACATGGGGCATATTTCAAAGGCAAGCCTTTTATAATCAAAGAGAATCTGTTAGAGTATGTATACTAAACAACACTGAATTTGGAAGGTAACCTCTTGGGACTGATATCTCACGCTTTAGTGCCGCATTAATCCTTGTGTTTGCAAATAACAGAAATCTTTCATGAAATCTTAGACCATGAAGATATATTAGAGACCCTCTAGACTTTCTTGTAAGGAGCACTGGTGGCATAATGGTCAAGTGCTCGGCTGCTAACCAAAAGGTTGGTGGTTCGAACCCAGTAGCTAATCCATGGGAGAAAAGACCTGGTGATCTGCTCCCTTAAAGATTTCAGCCTAGGAAACCCTATGGGGCAGTTCTACTCTGTCTTATAGAGTCACTATGAATCAGAATCGACTTGATGGCACACAACAACAACAAGACTTTCTTGGAGTCCCTGGGTGGTGCAGATGGTTAACACACTAGGCTGCTAACCAAAAGATTGAAGGCTCGAGTCCACCCAGAAGCACCTCAGAAGAAAGCCCTGGTGATCTACTTCCAAAAAATCAGCCATTGAAAACCCTATGGAGCACAATCCTTTTCTGATACAGATGGCATCACCATGAGTCAGAATCAACTGAATGGCAACTGGTTAGACTTTCTTATTCAATATAACATGTTACCCTATGCATTAAAAAAAAAAAAGCAGAGGAAAAATATGAAAAATCACATTCCCTTGTCCTACAATGAAATGTATTTTCCTATATCTCATTGCACAATGTCCCCAACAAATAAATACACACAGACAGCCCACTCTTTGATTCCAAAAAAGACAACAGGCAAATTGGAAATGGATGCCACTACTTTTAACAAAGCCCTTCATATCCCCTCAGGGTATATTTTATTGTAAATTATGAACTTTTTGGAGGTTAGGCCCTGATTTTTGTCATCTAAAGTAGACAAGTATCACTAGTGTTGGGAGAATGAGACTAGTTAAAAAAGTGAATTTGGATCAGGCTAGGTCTTGTGGACTTCTCAAATCGTATCACATGGGCACCCGCTTCCTCGACCTACGTCCCCAAATATGAAAGTCAATCACTCTCACAGTCATCCAAGTTACTGTGTCACCTCTGACAGCAGTGACATCTAACATTTGCTCCTTTCTCATAAATATGATGCCAGCTATGTGTCTTGACCTTATGAGGGTCAGGCCACTGATTTTTACCCATTAATATTTAATACTACAAATATAAAGTTATCTTTCAAAGATTTCAGTGATTCTCAATCTCTGCTTCAAAAAAGACAAGAATCCAAGGGTGAAAATTTGTCATCATTAGATTGTTAACCATTAGGATGTAAAGACAGATAAAAAAAAAATATGCTAGATATTATCCTTTAAATTCCCCTTCTGGCTTGATCTATTCAAGTCTAGAGTATAAATATATATGTTATAACTAAATTAGGTTTAATCTAAATACAAAGAATTAGAAATAAATCAAAAGGTCTGGATCAGCCATTGTGGCCATTGTTTCTAATGGCATGTTTTCATAAATAAGATTGTACGTTGACATTTGAAAAATGTAAATTGTAATTTTTTTTTTAAATGTAAGTGGTGACCTTTGCAGAATTGCCTCTTCTCAGAATTATCTCATTAATTTAGGGACCAATTTGGTACCAAAAAAGAAAAGGAAAGAATGCAAGAAGGAAGGGAAGCAAAGGGAGGAAAGGAGGGAGGGAGGAAGGAAGGAAAGAAATACAGAATAATTCTCCTTTGTGCATGCCAAAAGCTAGATTTGGGCCCTGAACCAGTGCTCATCCTGCCTTCCAAAAGCTCTCATGTCCTTTCTTTAGTTCATTTTGACCTGAAAGTCTATTTTCATACACTAAATGCCGCCAATAAAGTGCCGGTTGATAAAAATCCTCATGTCACATCATGTAATGCTGCCAGGCTGGGTTTTTGGATGTGGTTCTTTTCTTGGATCTAGATGGCAGAAAGTGATAACTTGGGGTAACAGTGGCATTCCTGGGGTGAAGTGCAGATGCCTGATGCCCTTGGTGTATAGGATCACCAAGACACAAGCCTTTGTCTGAGCTAGAACAATCCTTTGGGAATGCTACCAACATTCTCATTTCTGATAGCTTTAATCCTGCATGCTTAAATGCTAGCAATGCAGTAATAACCATTATATTATAATCTCATTTTTTAATGTTTTCTATAAAGTCCCAAACCAATCTGTATGCAAACCAGTGACATCTAAGTTATAAGCCCTTTATCCAGGAATGTTATCTCCACATTTTTAGCTGAATTGTGATCTGTATCACAAACTAAATAATGGATTTTTAAAAAATGGTATCTTTAAAAGGATACCCAAATAATTCATCACTCAGATATATCTCTGAGTAGAGAAAATGCCTCTTCCTCAATTCTAAGTGATATCATTGCATCATAAAGTGCTCTGTAGGCTTTAAGCATGTGGCTGGTTGGCTCAGGGCACTCATGCCATGGTGTTAATGAGGCCAAGGTCGTGGGGGCCAGTTAGCTTTGCTCTGTGTACAGACCCATACTACCGGGAATCAGTCAAGAGACGCTAACACAGACAAGAAAGGTACCATGGCAAAACCTCAGCACTTCTTAGTCCATCCTCCCCATGTGACAGGCAGGATGTGTGTGTTGGGACTCTTCTTAGGGAGGAAATGAGTAGTAGCTTGGGAGGCCCCAATCTCTACCCCCCAAGAAAGCAGCCCTGACATTCAAGCATTAACTTTGCATTATAATCCCCCGTCATACCATTGATTTGCTGTGTAACCTTCATCACTATAGCAGAGATAATAGGATAGAATGAAATGGGCTTACCTCCCGGGGATGTTGTGTGAATTAGCAAATTAACGAGTGTAAAGTGTTAGCATTTATGTAAGTGCTGGTGCTTGTCATTATTTCTAGGGACCTAGTCTCATTCTAGTATATTATGCTTTTTTCGGAGAGGGATTTTCACCCACATCAGTTGCATTTAAGCTGAGCATAAAACAGAGGTGATAATAACGTAGTAGTGATCATCGCAATGCGGAGCTGTAAACCTTTTCCCTATTAAAGCTAAACCTATTTTCAGCAACTTTCAATGCTTTTAAACTTTGCTTTCCAAGCTTTGTGCCAACAGTTATCTCTACAGTGATTATTCTTCCTATGACAGGTGGGGGGAATGGGACCTATTCATTATTCATTCCCATAATGACTATATAATGTATTGAATTTGTTTACATCATACAATCAGGCAAAGACTCGGTTTGATTGCCACATATTGCAATCATTGTAAAAAATAAAAACTCTTCTGCTCTGCCCACGCTGATGTCCTCTAGAGGTAGCAAACATACAGAGTGAAAACTCATGGGGAATTGAAGTGCTTTCCAACAAAAGGCACTGTACATAGATCCTTTCAATTTAACGTCTTTACCGAGGAATTTTGTTGTTGCCTGCTATTTCCAAGGGAACTGTGCGTGAGAGAATTCTTCCATTTCTTTTATCACTTTAACTTCACTTACCAAGAAAGTCATTTATTACTGATTGCAGAACTCTTGAACTCAGTCTGGCAGCTGCAGTGTGAACTCCTCAGATCTGGGCTCCTTGTTACTTATTTACATATTCATTTGAAGTGATTTTTCAGGATTCTTTGAAAACCTCTTGACCTGACATTGTGTAATAGCTGAGATCTAAAGCTCTGTGTTTTTGGTTCTTTTTCTCTTTGTCTTACAGATAACAGACGGGTACCTTTGGAAAGGTCACGCTCTCGCCACAATGAAGCTATCTCATCTAAGTGATTCCTGATGCCAAAGAGTATGAAAAATATTTCAGTAAACAAAATCATATGTTTTGAGAAGAACAAAACATGCGCTCAAGAGATGGAGACGAAATAAGTGCATTTCTGCTAAGATCAAGCTAAGCTGGATGAAATCGTGTGCATTTGTAGAACTATTGCAAGATGCCTCCCGCAATTATATTAATATGAACACAATTATCAGGATTATAAAAAGTGTGTTCCTTTTTAGTGTAATGATGTGTGTTATTTGTTACTGCATGTGATCTGATGGTGATGACGGAAATATAAAAGATTGAAAAGAGCTAAAGCTGTTCAAAAACACTGTTTGTCAAAAATTTATAAACTTACTGAAATTTGTAGGTGATCAAATAAAAAAAGGAGGAAAGAGAAGAAAAAGACTAGAAAGAAGGAATTATTCAGTGTCTGGTTCTGATTCCTATTATATATAAAAAGAAAAGACCAACAAAAACGTGCATGTTTAGGATTTTGGATAGGCACTAATGTTGTCCACACTGTAAGAGAAGCCGTTTTGGGAACTCAAAAAAAATCTCTCCTTAACCCCTGTCAAGTTATTTAGAATCTTATCTCAAGTGAAGGCTGATGGATTCATCTGCTTTGGCTGAATTTAAACTTATCATTAATCTAGAGTTACGGCATGATATTGCAGGCACTTATCATTGCTAAAAATAAACCAAAGTTTAACAGAATCAGTTACAGAAAGCAATTTAAACTTTATTTAAAGAGGTATTTTCTAATTATGCACATATATCTACTTTATACAGATACTTTATATGGCTATTTTTGAGAAGAAAGTTCACATTTTAATGTTTATGCTAGGGAAGAATCTGAAAATACTATTTCTTTTATTTAGATTTTAAACACAAATATTGATTCCTATACTCTATGCTTTATTTCTTCTTCTGCTGCTTCTTTCTCCCTAGACCCCCTCGAAGGCAGGGAACAGAGTTCTAGAAGACCTGAGAGAAAACAGATTTCTCTCTGCAGGAGGCAGCAGAAAACTATCTGAAAGGTCAATTGTTTTATCTAACTTTCTACTCCCCTTTCCAATTCTGCTTTGGTGGCCTGAAGAAGAAAAAAAGAAATTCTATGTTATGTATGTATATATGTGTGTATATATTTATATCTCCTGCTACAATTATTCCATATCCCAGTAGCTAAGTGAACTTTTTAATCATCATCATACTTACCACCTTATATTAACAAATTAAAATGATGCCGCCAAAACAACTCTAGAGGGAAAACCAGGCTCTGCATTTTTCTTAAGTAGACGAGGGAGTAAAAGTTATGCTTAACTTGTCTATTATTTTAAGGTATGCATTGAAATAATGTGGTATAACTTCTCTGGAGTGCAGTTTTAAGACTAATTCATGCCAATGATTGTGATTATTGTAACAGATTTCTTATATAGAAAATCCTACTTCTACTCCTCCATTGCACATTATAACATTCAGAAAGAACAAATGACTCACTCAACAAGTCACCATCTGAAAAAAAACTAAACAAGTGACCAACAGCTTACAGATTCCTTTATATAGACGTATAATGATTCAAACTGCTGCCTTTTCCTCCAATGCATCCTTACTTGGGTACTATACTTCAAAAAACTCTGAAGCTGCTACAATAGAGAAATCAAAAAGAGTATCAGTATCTGAGGTTTTGCAGTTTTATCCTATCTTAAAACACACATACATACACACACACAACCTTAAGGGGTATATCAATTTCACACATTTTTTTAAACAAGAAAAGTTTAGATTCTACTAACTTATGTATAGGCCTAATGTGTATATTTTTGACTTTACAAAGTCTTTTTTGAAATCTTCATAATATGGCTTCTTTGAGTCTTTTGATAGCTTTTCAGGCTGTAGGAAAATGGTATTTTAAAATGTTAACCCTGACTAAAATTTGGGGGCATTTACCATGCCATGTTATTAAGCTGGTAAGGGTAAAAATACTGACGTGTTTCACCTTTTCCAGATGTGAACGTGTCTTATTTTTTAGTTTGTGAAAACAAATGAAGAACTATTATTGATAAATTATATATTTGTATTTAGACTAATCCCACGTGCTTTTCACAAAAATTAAAAATTGTTCAGAGTCTTTCGTGAACTTCCGATAATTGAATTAAAGAGTCTGCTTCCCAGATTTATAATGGTCCTGCTCTAGCCATTTGCAGTTTTGTTTTACACAGAAAAGTATCACTAAAAAAAACACACAGTGACATTATTAGTATGTTGTTGTTGTTAGATGCTGTCGAGTTGGTTCTGACTCATAGTGACCCTATAGAACAGAATAGAACTGCCCCATTATTCGTATAGAACCAAATACTACTAAAGTCTTATTTTGGGTTTATTACTGCCATGTATGAGAAGCACCATTTATGTAGATTTTTTCTAGAATGTTATTTTTTTTAAAAAGTGCAAAACCCTTAAAATGTTTACTAGTTGTATTAGCTTCCTGTGGCTGCTGTAACAAATTACCACAAACTTGATGTCTTAACACAATAGAAATTTATTCTCTCATAATTCTGGAGGCCAGAAATTTGAAATCAACATGTCAGCAGCATTGTGTTCCCTCTGGAAACTCTAGGGGAAAATCCTTTCCTTGCCTCTTCCAGGCTCTGGTGGCTGTCGACATTCCTTGGCTTGTGGCCACATCACTTCAGTCTCTGCCTTCTCTCCTCCTCTTCTCTGTGTGTTCCTCTCTATGTGTCTGTCTCAAAACTCCCTCTGCTTCTCTTTTATAAGGATACATGTGATTGTATTTAGTGCTCACCTGGATAGTCCAGGATAAACTACTCCTTTCAAGGTACTTAACTTACTTACATCTTTTGCCATATAAGGTAACATTCACAGGTTCCAGGGTTAGGACATGGACATATCTTTTGGGAGGCTACCATTTAACCCACTACAGTTTTCTCTCTGGTCTTCAAAATGCCATGTCCATCCCATGTGAAAAACACATTTATCCCATCCCAATATCCCCAAAAGTCTCACCCCTTTATAGCATCAACTCTTAAGTCCAAAGTCCCTTCTAACAGTCATCAGCTCAAAAGTCCCAAATCTCAATCAGGTGTGGGTGAGATTCTGGGTATGATCCATCCTTGGGTGAAATTTCTCTCCATCTGTAGACCTGTGAAACTAGAAAACATGTTATCTGCTTCTAAAATCCAGTGGTGGGACAAGCAGGCAATAACAGGTATAGACATTCCTATTCCAAAAGGAGGAAAATGGAAGATAGAAAGGAATCACTGGTCCCAAGCAAATTCTAAACCCAGCACAGCAAATTCTGTTGGTTTTAAGGCCTGGGAATAATCCTCTGTGGCTTGAAGCTCCACCTTCTGGGCCCGCAGCTCTGTCTTCTGGGCTGATGGCTTGGACCTTTGCCTCTGGGCCTTAGACCTGCACCTCTGCCTCTGCACTTGTGCCTCTGCCTCTGCACCCATGGCTCTGCCCTCAGGACGATCCTTCCTTTATCCTTGAAGGGTAGCACATGCTTGTAGATGAATAGTCTTATCAGCCTATTTCCTGCCTGTAAAATGTTGAGAGTTAGATACCGTTATTTCATTTTGTCCTGTCTCTGCCCCTTTCCGTTCAGTCCGAAAATGTTTCTGCTGATATAACATTCTTTAAAACCTAGTGTATGTGTGTGTGTGTTGGGGGGGGGGACCTGTGTGTGTCTTGTGTGTGTCGTGTTGATTCACATCATTAGATAAGAAGGTCCTTCACAGATCTTTCCTGCATAACCCCATCTCTATTCCTGGCTTCTGCTGAGATGGTTGAGTGGATCTATGAGTCACACACCTAATCTCTTCAGAACTAGGCAAAGGTTGTCAAGCTACACCCTTTGCCTTCTCCCAGAGCACACTTCCCTAACAGTGAATCTCCTAATTTTAGCATCTCTTGCAATCTGGATAGGCTCAGAATTTCCCATATCATCAGGTTCTGGTTCCTTTTTGCTTAACAGTTCCTTCCTCAATTTATCTTTCCTCTTACATTTTATTCTAAGCAGCAAGAGGAAACCAGACCATACCCTTCAGTTTGCTTGGAAATCTCCTCGGCTAAATATCCAAGTTTATCACTTACAAGTTCATCTTTCCGCACAACTATAGAAGAAAATTCATCTAAACTTGTTGCAACTATATAGCAAGGATTGCCTTTCCTCCAGTTTCCAATAGTATGTTCACTTCTCTGAGTACTCATCAGAAGCGCCTTTGATGTTCATTTTTCTACCAACATTCTGTTCATGACAATGTCTACATATACTCTAAGACCATAAAAGCTTCCTCTACCATGTTCATCACTTTTTTCTGAGCCCTCATCAGAATTACCTTTAATGTCTATAGTTCTAGCAACAGTCTGTTTAAGGCAATCTAGGCTTTTCCTATTTGCCTAAAAATTCAGCCTTTACCCATTATCCAATTCTAAAACCACTTACACATTTTTTAGGTATTTGTTATAGCAGCACCCCACTTCTCAATACTAAAGTCTGTATTAGATTCGTGTAGCTGTTGTAACAACTTACCACAAACTGGGTGGATTAAAACAACAGAAGTTTATCCTATCACTGTTCTGGAGGCCCGAAGTCCAAAATCAAGGAGTTTCCAGGGTTGCACTCCCTTTGGAGGCTCTAGGAGAGAATCCATTCCTTGCCTCTTCCGGTTTCTCATGACTGCTTGCTTTCCTTGGTTTGTGGTGATATCTGTCTCTGTTCTGTCTTTATGTAACTTTCTCCTCCATGTGTCAAAATCGCCCTCTGCCTGTTTCTTATAGGGACACTTGTGAAGGCATTTAGAGCCCACCTGGATCATCCATGATAATCTCCTCATCTCAAAATCCTTAATTAGATTTACCAAAACCCTTTTTCCAAATAAAGTATAACATCACAGCTTCCAGGGATTAGAAGATGGACATTTTTTGGGGGGGAAGGGGGGTTGGGGGCACCATTCAGCTCACTACTCATTGTACATAAATGTACTTTTTACTTTTTAAAATGCATCCTTGGTGCTCAAGCCAAATTTAAGGCTGTCTCTAAAAGCTATTGTCTGAACAGGCTACTGCATGCTTTGATGTTAAGTAGATAAACAGGCTATTCTCATATTTGGTTAATATTTTGCCACTATGGCCAATTATCTTAAAAACACAATTGACTAACTCTGAGCTCTGGGTATCTCTTTTGCCTCTTTTATGGAATCTTTGACCAAATGTCTTCTATGATTCATAATGCAGGGACAAAACTACCTCTGACACAGAGGGGCTCTTTACAAGCTTATTTAAAATATTGTGAATCCCTCAGCTGAAGGGAGAGGTGACAGCAAAGCCTGCTTTGAATGGATATTGAGGGAGATCATGCCCATACCAAGCCACTCAGAAGAAATATTTTAGTAGAAGTAGAACCATGGATATGTGCTCTCATTTTGCCTCAGAATAAACATCTGTCTCTAAGCAGGACCAAGAATGACTTTCAATCTGTGTGTAATGCATACTTACTTATTCAATAAAGTTAAGATGTACATTAAACGTACTGCCTATGATAATTAATATTAAGGATGCATGGGATGATGCGAACTGTAAAGTATCAAGACAGGATGTGAGAACATTCTAGAGGGAGAAGCTTCAACTGAACAGATAGGCAAGAGGGTTTTTTGGTTTGTTTTTTCATTTGTGTATTATGCACGGGGATGTGGGGCTCAGTCTGTGGCAGCTGCCTTCCTCATGGCGCCAGGATATTGGTTGTTTAGCTCCTCTTGCTGCTTCTTGGTGCAGATGTATATCCTCACCTTTTTCTTGATAAATTTGAGGACTCGCCTGTCCTCGGAGACCTTGAGCAGCTCCACGGTGCGCTGCTCATATGGGGCAAAGCCACACACTTCTCGGATCATGTCCCACAGAAACTTGATGTGCTTGGTGAAGTACCCTTGGTGGCAGCTGTGCCTCGACTTGCTAATGTTCTTGGTCACCTTGTGGCCCTTGTTGAGACCCACAATCACGAGATAGCACAGAGCCAAGTTGTGACCCACAGCACAGCCCTGGGGCCCTGATGGCAGTGGATCCTGCCCATCTGGAACCATACTTGGCAAGAAGGCTTTTATAAGAACTTGGTCAGAATACATGGAATGTATTCAAAGACACACTTACCTGTGGAATCATAAGGTTTTCTTCAAGTATTCTTTAGCACTGCTTGCCAGAGTAGTGTAAAGATGTTCGCACAACTAAAAGTCCAGAAAAAAGTCAAAAGAGTGATTTACATCCTCCAGAGAAACAGTTTTTACAGAAGAGGTTTTCTGCCATGAATGTAGAACTAAAGCAAATGGGCTTCAAATGCCCAGAGGGGTAAAAATCTGGAATGAATAACTAAGAATTGTAGATAATTATTTTCTGGAGGGCTTTCAAAAGAATCTCTCATCATGACTAAGCTGACTTGAAGATGGAAGGGTGGGCAAGGTAATAACCAAGTCTGTAAATGATATGATCCAAAGTATCTGACAAGACCATTGTTTTCCTTGGAATGGTTTGTGCCAGGAATCAAATACATTGGCTGTATCTTCCCCCTAAGGTAAGGGAGTGTGAAAACCTTGGTATCCACCACTAGGGGAGTTTTTGCTTAATACCAAGAGCTCAAAGGAAAGTGGAAATCTAGAAAGTGATATATTTTCAATTCATGTAACAAGCTGTATAGTTTTGATTTATAATAAAAAGAAAGCTATAGCCATATATCCCATTTACAGACTGAATTTATTTAGATGTCTAGAGTCCCAGTAGCTGCAAATAAAATATTATTACAGTTAGTGTCCATAGCAGGGAAAAACACCTTCAAATTCATGAATTATGTGAATCATAACTTAGTTCCTAGTTCTTGGAGATTAGCCAGAGTTCAGTCTTTAGCCATAATGACCTTATATCTTGGCTAATTGAGCTTCAGCCAATACTTTCACCTATATCTTGGCTAACTGAAATTCAGCCAATATTTTCACCTTTTGATGGTTCTGATTGAAACATAAGAGCTGTTATCTTATTATTAGACATAAAATAACAGCATCAACACTAATAATGTAAAACCCTCAACTGCTCTACGTTTCCAAAGTCTCCTCACAGTGTGACTATTCTGGTCATGTGGTGCCCATTCAGTGGAAGCTGCTTTTCAGAACACAATTATTAATTAAACATAGATCCTGTCTTCAAGGATTTCACAGTCTAGTGGGAGATGAGACATGTACAAACAATTATAATCCAAGGAGGAAAAAAGGCGATCAATGTCATAAGAATGGTATAGATGAGATCTATGGTAATTTGGAGTCCCTGGGTGGTGCAAATGGTAAAAGTGCTTGACTGCTAACCGAAAGGTTGGAGATTTGAATTCACCTAGAGGCACCTCAGAAGGAAAGCCTGGTGATCTACTCTTGACAAATCAGCCATTGAAAACCTTACGGAGCACAGTTCTACTCTGACACACATGAGGTCACCAGGAGTCAGAATTGACTCAATGGCAACTGGATGGGCGTTTGGAAAATACAAATTAATTTCAGTTTTGGAAAGATGGAGTGGGAAGCAGATATCAGTGTTGATTTTTTGGAGGGAGTGACATTTGACCTGAAATGTAAAAGGTAAGTAGACTTGGACATGTGGAGCTTTTATTCAGTCAATATTTAATGAACATCTACTTTGTGCCAGACACAATACAAGGCTCTGAGAATGTAACAGTGAACCACATAGATGTGGTCACTGTTATTATGGAGCTTATGTCTTTTTGAGGAGGGAGAGAAAGCATGAACAGAGGTACAAACTTGGAACTTCTTGGTGCATATGCAAAAAAATATTGAAACAATTCAATTTGGCTAGGATGTAGGGTCCATAAAAGGCAGTAGTGGTTGTGTGGTTTTGGCTTGATTTTATAAATGACAGGGAAAAACTGAGGGGTTTTGAGCAAAGAAATGACACAGAGCACTTAAGGAAGATTATTCTGGAAGCTCTGTGTAGGATAGAGAGGGGCAAGGCCGTAGATGGCAAAATTCATTAGCAGTTGTCTTAGTTATCTAGTGCTGCTATAACAGAAATACCACAAATGGATGGCTTTAACAAATTTATTCTCTCACAGTTTAGGAGGCTAGAACTCTGAATTCAGGGCACCAGCCCCAGGGGAAGGCTTTCTTTGTAGACTCTGGGGGAAGGTCCTTGTCATCAAAGTTCCCGAGTCTAGGAGTTTCTCATCACAGGGACCCCGGGTCCAAAGGACACACTCCACTCCCAGCTCCTCTTTTCTTAGTGGTGGGAAGT